TGAAGCATGGGTGGAGAAAAGATGTGAATATCAGAGAGTGAAAAGGACTTGAGTGAATATAATAAAACCTAGCATATCACCAGAATTACACGAAAATCGTATAACGGCAACGTCATATGCAAGAGTAACAAACCTCAGAATATCACTCAGGAACTGGAATAAAAATCGTTCAGAGCCTTATATATGACATGTTAGGCAAATCATTGACTACACGGTCCTAGCATGAGGCCCACATCTGGTATACTCCTGCATTGGTAGAAGACTCACTCTCGTTCTTCTGCACTATGGCGAAGAAACAGTAGAGTATACATTATACCATGTGGAGGATGTGATAAGAAGTATGTGGGGTAGCACTGCCAGATTTTGAGAAATTAGCAAACACAGAAACGCCTACAGATAAGAGGATTGCAATAATGCCTGAGTACAGCACAGGGACGAATATGGCCACCTTGTGAAGTTCAATGAGGCCCGACTAGTAATTTGTGAAAACCTTCAAGAGAGGCTATTGCTGGAATCTGCCTTAATCATTACAATAACACAGTTCCACAAAGTTCTGCACCATGGTTCAGAAGCATAAGAGCAATTATTCGACCAAAGCAGGGGTGTACGTGGGAGAGACTGTCATGTCTTTAGAAATTTGAGCTTGCAAACACTGAAACATCTGCAAAAGAGATGAGTGCATTAGCACCTATGTGTACAGCACAGGGACAAATGTGGTCAATCGATGAAGTTTAGTGAGGCCCGACTACCCACTAGCGAAAATGAGCAACAAAGAATTAAGGCTGAAGTCACTCCTGGAGGTTACCAGGAGGTTATTCCGGGGATCAACGCCCCCGCGGCTAGGTCCATGACCAGGCCTCCCGATGAATCAGGGCCTGATCAACTAAGCTGTTACTGCTGGCCGCACGCAGTCCAACGTACGAGCCACAGCCCGGCTGATCCGGCACTGACTTTAGGTATCTGTCCAGCACTCTCTTGAAGGCAGCCAGGGGTTTATTGGCAATTCCCCTAATGCTTGATGGGAGGCTGTTGAACAGTCTTGGGCCCCAGACACTTATGGTGTTTTCCCTTAGTGTACCAATGGCGCCCCTACTTTTTATTGGGGGCATTTTGCATCGCCTGCCCAGTCTTTTACTTTCGTAGGGAGTGATTTCTGTGTGCAGATTTGGGACCATTCCTTCCAAGATTTTCTAAGCGTAGATTATGATATATCTCTCCCTCCTGCGTTCCAACGAGTACAAGCCAAGTGCTTCCAAGCGTTCCCAGTAGTTAAGGTGCTTGACAGAACTTATACGTGCAGTAAAGGATCTCTGTACACTCTCTAGATCTGCGATTTCACCTGCTTTGAATGGAGATGTTAATGTACAGCAGTATTCCAGCCTAGAGAGAATAAGTGATTTGAAAAGGATCATCAATGGCTTGGCATCTCTCGTTTTGAACGTTCTCATTATCCATCCTATCATTTTCTTTGCACGTGCGATCGTGGCACTGTTGTGATCCTTGAAAGTGAGATCCTCAGACATTACTACTCCCAGGTCCCTTACAATATTTTTCTGCTCTATTGTATGGCCGGAGTCAGTAGTATACTCTGTTCTAGTTATTATCTCCTCCAGTTTTCCATAACGGAGTAGTTGGAATTTGTCCTCATTGAACATCATATTGTTTACCGTTGCCCACTGGAAAACTTTGTTTATATCTTCTTGGAGGTTAACCGCGTCCTCAGCAGATGACAGCCTCATGCAGATCCTAGTATCATCCGCAAAGGATGATACGGTGCTGTGATGTATATCTCATAAATGTCCTGAACTGTTCATAAGTGTCGTTATTCTTAGGTAAATAGAGGTGGGCAGCTGACCTAAGTGGAAACTTTTAGCTCCTGTTTATATTTAGTTAGTTAGTTTAATATGTTTATTATGCACCCCATACCCATCCTGTGGGCGGTAGTCAAAAGATTAGAGGTACATAATTGGTCCAGGGACTGGACTCCAAAGTTTTGATAGCTGAGCAAGTTACAGAGGTAATGAATTCACAATTTACAAAGGTAATGAACTCACAAATTACAAAGGTAATGAACTCCGGGTAGGTCTAGTCACAATCATGACAAGTTACAAAGGTATTTACAGATTACAGAGGTACGTAATGGATCCAGGTATTTGCCAATGTAAATCTTATTTCTCTTTCATTGCCCAGCGTGTAGTGTACAGTGACCCTCCCGCGCCTCCCATAACCCATCACCCTAGGATTCCCCCACCAAACTACCTGGGCCTCCACCATTTAACTCCCCCGCCTAACCCACCCAAATCCCAGCGACACCCCAACTGTAGAGGGCACTTTTCCCCTCCCAGGGGGAGGGGAAAAGTACCACCTCCCATGCCCACGATGTCAGTAATGTCACAAGATGTGCCGGGTTCCCAGGAACTTCCAGGACAAAGCCAACGCCATGAAATTCGTCCACGAGGCAACTGTCAGGTGTGCCACAGGGAGTGTGCACTTAATCCCTCAAATCTCAACATCCGTTCACACAATGGATATCTAAGCTCCCAGAGAGCTCCAAGTGGGAACAACCAACAGCCCCTCCCAACAGACAGTTCACAACTACCGCGACTTCACCTCTACATAGAACCTAAAATCTGCAGTCAAATTAACGTCCCACAGGACGTTGACACATCCGCACAGCAGCTCTCCCTCAAGCTGCTAGCAAATTCGCTGACCTCTTGAAGTCAATGATGCCCCTGCAAACAACAAATCTTGGCACAACCTACTGCTATTTGACAATGGCTGCCTGACTGTCCCACCAAAGAGGAACAAGTCACTAGCAACATCTGTTATAGGGCAATAAATGCATTCCCTAGAGCTAATTATTAAGTTCTGACATGTATGTTCATTATCTTCTATTTTTCATTGTTGTTCAGTGATTATTCATAATTTTACTAGTCATTCTGTAATTCCTTTGGTGTGTTCCTGCAATTCCAACAGACTGATAATTGATTTTCAGAGTGAAATCTGTTATAATATAGTATTCTTCATATTTTTTTTGTCATAATTCCTGTATTCTGCTTATTTTATCTTTATCATCCAGTATTCAGTAATTTTTTTTGTCATTTTATATAATTTCTTATCTGCCACGTCTGATTTTTATATTAATGTAATATTATTGATAAGGGGGATTACCAATAGACCCCTGGCTGTCTTCAAGACGGCACTGGACAGGCACCTAAAGTCAGTACCTGACCAACCGGACTGTGGTTCGTACGTCAGCTTGCGTGCGGCCAGCAGTAGCAGCCTGATTGATCAGACCCTGATCCACCATGAGACCTGGTCTCAGACCGGGCCGCGGGGGCGTTGACCCCCGGAACCCTCTCCAGGTAAGGTACCAAAAGAACCCCAATGGAAATAAGTCACTTTTTTGGGTTATCTTAAGTTCTCTACACACATATGCTGTTATGCATGATAATATATGTAATTGTATTTGTGTATAACTGAATAAACTTTAGCCTGTTGGCTAAAGCTCTCGCTTCACACACGGAGGGCCCGGGTTCGATTCCCGGCGAATGGAAACATTTCGACACGCTTCCTTACACCTGTTGTCCTGTTCACCTAGCAGCAAATAGGTACCTGGGTGTTAGTCGACTGGTGTGGGTCGCATCCTGGGGTACAAGATTGAGGACCCCAATGGAAATAAGTCAGGCAGTCCTCGATGACGCACTGACTTTCTTGGGTTATCCTGTGTGGCTAACCCTCCGGGGTTAAAAATCCGAACGAAATCTTATCTTACTTCTTCCCCGTACATCGGAGAGCAGGGCTCGATACGGTGTAAGCTGTCAGTAGCCGTATAATCCCCCAACAAGAGGAACTGGTAAAGCGTCAGTTTTGGTGGCCCTGAAGAACGAACAACAACATCAGCAATAACTGGAAAGAAACTTCTGAGCCGGCCTTTATCGAGTATGGACGGGGAATCAGTGGCAAATTTCCACTGCTTTCTATAAAACGCTTGTTCTCATCTTACTTTGTCCACAGGGCATTTTACAGGAGGGACGTCTTACATCGACTCAATTTAAGTCAGTTCCATTTTCCTGACCACGGGTGGGGTAGAACCCGCGACCAGAGAGTCTCAAAACTCCAGACCGTCGCGTTAGCCACTGGTCCAGTGGCTAACGCGACGGTCTGGAGTTTTGAGACTCTGATCGCGGGTTCTATCCCCGCCCGTGGTATGGTTTGTTTGCAATCGTGTCATTACGATTTCGTGAGCCATTTTCCTGCTCAGTGGATATTTTTTTTAACGGTTTTATTCGTAAGCCGGTAGTTAAACTCAGGTGAGGGGTTTAGGTGTCCTGCTCTGCTGGGGTTTGGTGGGATGGTCAACCTGGTCTGTTTGGGAATTTGTTTTGGTTTTTATTGAAAAAGGGACTCATTTTTACTTTTCTTTCATTGCCCAATTTCGGGCAATATCTCTTCTTCGTCTTCTTATTGCTTTTGGGATTATAAGAGCTACTTGCAGCTTAAGCCATATCGAGTAAGTAAGTAAGTTTATTCAGATATACACAAATACAGTTACATAGAATTATCATACATAGCAGCATATGTGTAGAGAACCTGGGATAACCCAAAAAAGTCAGACAGAGTGACTTATTTCCATTGGGGTCCTTTTACCTTATTATAATATAAAGGTTATAATATTTTCTTATTATTCTACAATGAAGATAACATCTGCTTCTTGGTGTAAGTAGAATATTACCCAAAGCTGTGCAATGAAAGAAAAGGGAACAGGAATCCCTTTGTAAATAAAAACATAAACCAAAAGTTCCCCAACAGACCAAGTTGACCTCCTCGTCAATCCCTAGCAGAGATGGACACCCATGCCCTCACGTAAGTTCAACTACCGGCTTCTCACCAAAACCGTTAAAAAATATAGCCGCAAAGCAGGAAAATGGAACTTACTAAAACTGAGCCTATAAACGATGCCCCTCCTATAAAGTGCCCAGCGTACAAACTAAGATGAAAACAAGCGTCCCAGAGACAACGGGGAAAACATGTCACTAATGTGCAGGCAAGAGCAAGATGTCCACACTCGGCGAAAGATGGCACGGTAGTCCATCTCTTCCCTATACACCGGGAAGAAGGGTTCAATACGGCGTAAGCCGTCACTGATTCTTAGAAACCCAACTGAAGGAAGAAGAGAATTGGTAATATTTCAATGTATTTCTGTGAGTTATGTAAATTCATAACTTATAACACGTATACCAAAGAAGAAAGCATAACTCATATTGAGAGACGTGTGTTCAGAATTGAAGGCCATTCTCTAATTCATTCTGCAAATCACAAGTGACAAGGAATGTGAAGTTGAAAACTCTTTACTTTAATACACAAGTAGTAACGGAGGACATGTCCCAAGAGAACTTAAGGACAGTGGAACACCACAGTAGGCCTACTATCCCATGCTAGACAGGTCCATCTCACACACATGTAGCTGTCCAGCCTATATTTCAAGCTACCCAAAGTTTTCCTCACTGACGCTACAATTCTATTGCTACACTAATACTTCTTTTCGACCCTTGATGCTGGAGAGGGGCTCTTGATCTGGGAAATTGGATCTGTGCTCCAGATCCCTGAATCGAGCCTGAATACTTTCCATCACTCCCCCCCACAGGTGCTGTATAATCCCTACGGGTTTTGCGCTCCCCATGATTATAATAGTAATAATAATAATAATAATAATAATAATCTATATCTCTTCGAAACCATGCTGTATGGCCCTTGTGGTTTAGTGCTTCTTTTTTATAATAATAATAATTTTCGAAACCAAAGTTTTTCCAACTTAAAGTCATTGCTGGAAGTCTTGTCTTAGTGCTAATTTTTGTAGAATTATTTCTAGGGAAGAAGAAATGTTTTGTTGTAAAGTACCTTCACTGTGTTATTTATATCTCCTTTATTTATTTATTCCTGCAAAATAATCACAGACAGGCGAACTTAACAATGCAAGACAAGACACGGGGTGGAAATCTTTACCTTGAGTACTTTCACACTTTCTCAGTGCGTCATCAGGAGCTTTGCAATCTTGCAAAGATAGCAACAGGAGAAATGAGGGGAAGTTTTCTCAGAGGATAGTAGTGTGAGTGACTCCACCAGTGTCTCTCTGAGAGAGAGACGTTGGCAGAGGATAGTAGCGTGACTCTGCCAGTCATGCTACTATCCTCTGAGAAAACTTCCCGTCATTTTTCTTGTTGCTACTTTTGCAACATTGCACAGCTCCTGAGGATGCACTGAGAAGTGTGAAAGTACTTGAGGTAAAGGTATCCCCTCCTCCCCATTTACAAAAAAGTAATTTTTATTTCCAGAATTGGTAGCAAAAACGGCATCAAAATGTTAGGCATTTTAAGACCTATCGGCAGGTCGAATCATCAATGTACTCTGCAGTTTCTCTCGTGGCTGTCATCCAGAGGTGGTGGAGGGGCAAGGAGTTTGTCACCACATTTTATTCCTCCTCCAAGGTATCTTGAGTATTCTCCTTACACTTTCAAGTAATAAAAGTGAATATGTACTAGCTTACAATGGTTGTGTAGTCAGGGCTAGTTTACTCACTATGACTAAGGGGGTGGACATTCATTTTAAAAACAAATCTGTAGTTTAAAACTAGAATTGGTAATTTTTTTTTAAATTTATCAATTCTCATAATATGTAACTGAAGAAAAGGCTTTGCTATATAATTAATGTGACCAGAGATTTAGAGAGGGTGCATTAAAAACAGATAAAAGTAATTATCTTATCTAAAATATATTGGCAGCCTTTCTTGATGAATGGGCCATTTAAATGTCCCACACAAACTTTGTGAATATCATTTGACAGTATAGTATCATACTTTGAATTTAATCATCTTGATTTATGTGCGCTAATTGCAGGACTTTTCAGGTCTTTCAATTTAAAAGTGAATACAGTAAGTAATTCAGTATAAATAATAATTACTGCATCTCCATGTGGAAGTGGAAAAGAATTCTTGCACCGCAAGCCATGCATGTCATAAAAGGCAACTAAAATGCCAGGAGCAAGGGGGTAGTAACCCCTTCGTTTTTATAAATTACTGTACTAAATTTATAAAGAACAACTTTCTTTTTCCTTTTTAAATTTAGGGTGACTTAAAAAAGAAAAATTTTCGTTTTTTTTCTTTTTAAGTCACCTGCCTTGATGGGATGTGGCCAGTGTGTTGAAAGAAAAAGAATTGTTACTGCACTGTATAACAATTATTTTATTGGAAATATAACTATGATTGCTTTTAAAATCCTTTTTCCTAGCATATATATATATATATATATATATATATATATTATAGGTAGTAGGTTGGTAGACAGCAACCGCCCAGGGAGGTACTACCGTCCTGCCAAGTGAGTGTAAAACGAAAGCCTGTAATTGTTTTACATGATGGTAGGATTGCTGGTGTCCTTTTTTCTGTCTCATGAACATGCAAGATTTCAGGTACGTCTTGCTACTTCTACTTACACTTAGGTCACACTACACATACATGTACAAGCACATATATACACACCCCTCTGGGTTTTCTTCTATTTTCTTTCTAGTTCTTATTCTTGTTTATTTCCTCTTATCTCCATGGGGAAGTGGAACAGAATTCTTCCTCCGTAAGCCATGCGTGTTGTAAGAGGCAACTAAAATGCCGGGAGCAAGGGGCTAGTAACCTCTTCTCCTGTATATATTACTAAATGTAAAAGGAGAAACTTTCGTTTTTCCTTTTGGGCCACCCCGCCTTGGTGGATACAGCCGGTGTGTTGAAAGAAGAAAGAATATATATATAAATATAATATATATAATATTATATAATATAATATATTTTTTTTTTCAACAAGTCAGTCGTCTCCCACCGAGGCAGGGTGACCCAAAAAAAAGAAAGAAAATCCCCAAAAAGAAAATACTTTCATCATCATTCAACACTTTCACCACACTCACACGTTATCACTGCTTTTGCAGAGGTGCTCAGAATATAACAGTTTAGAAGCATATACGTATAGAGATACACAACATATCCCTCCAAACTGCCAATATCCCAAACCCCTCCTTTAAAGTGCAGGCATTGTACTTCCCATTTCCAGGACTCAAGTCCGACTATATGAAAATAACCGGTTTCCCTGAATCCCTTCACTAAATATTACCCTGCTCACACTCCAACAGATCGTCAGGTCCCAAGTATCATTTGTCTCCATTCACTCCTATCTAACACGCTCATGCACACTTGCTGGAAGTCCAAGCTCCTCACCCACAAAAAACCCCCTTTACCCCCTCTTTCCAACCCTTTCGAGGACGACCCCTACCCCTCTTTCCTTCCCCTATAGATTTTTATGCTTTCCATGTCATTCTACTTTGATCCATTCTCTCTAAATGACCAAACCACCTCAACAACCCCTCTTCTGCCCTCTGACTAATGCTTTTATTAACTCCACACCTTCTCCTAATTTCCACACTCCGAATTTTCTGCATAAAAATTTACACCAACATTGCCCTTAGACAGGACATCTCCACTGCCCAACCGTTCCTCGCTGCTGCATTTACCACCCAACTTTCCCATCCATAAAAGGGAGTGTTGGTACTACTATACTTTCATACATTCCCTTTCTTTCCCTCCATAGATAACGTTTTTTGATCCACCATATACCTCAACGCACCACTCACCTTTTTTCCCCATCAATTCTATGATTAACCTCATCCTTCATAAATCCATCCGCCGACACGTCAACTCCCAAGTATCTGAAAACATTCACTTCTTCCATACTCCTCCTCCCCAATTTGATATCCAATTTTTCTTTATCTAAATCATTTGATACCCTCATCACCTTACTCTTTTCTATGTTCACTTTCAACTTTCTACCTTTAACACATTCCCAAACTCATCCACTAACCTTTGCAATTTTTTTTTTAGAATCTCCCATAAGACAGTATCATCAGCAAAAAAGTAACTGTGTTAATTCCCATTTTGAATTTGATTCCCCAAAAATTTTAATCCCACCCCTCTCCCGAACACCCCAGCATTACTTCTTTTACAACCCCATCTATAAATATATTAAACAACCATGGTGACATTACACATCCTGTCTAAGACCTATTTTTACCGGAAGTATTTCCCTCTCTTCTACACCCCCTAACCTGAGCCTCACTATCCTCATAAAACCTTTACAGCATTTAGTAACTTACCACCTATTCCATAAACTTCCCAACACCCTGCCACATTGCCCCTATTCACTCTATCATATGCCTTTTCTAAATCCATAAATGCAATAAAAACTTCCCTACTTTACTAATAACTGTTCAAAATATATGCTTCAATGTAAACACTTGATCACACATCCCCTACCCACTCTGAAACATCCTTGCTCGTCCGCAATCCAACATTTCTGTCTTACCTCTAATTCTTTCAATTATAACCCTACCATACACTTTTCCTGGTATACTCAATAAACTTTTTCCCTCTATTAATTTTTACAATCTCTTTTGTCCCCTTTCCCTTTATATAAAGGGATTATACATGCTCCTCTGCCAATCCCTTGGTACCTTCCCCTCTTTCATACATTTATTAAACAAAAGTACCAACCACTCCAACACTATATCCCCCCCTGCTTTAACATTTCGGGTCATGATCCCATCATTTTCCAGCTGCTTTACCCCTTTCATTCTACGTAATGCTCACGTACCTCCCCCACACTTACATTCTGCTTTTCTTCCCCTCCTAAAAGATGGTATACCTCCCTGACCATGCATGAAATTAACCACCTCCCTTTCTCCTCAACATTTAAAAGTTCCTCAAAATATTCTCGCATCTACCTAATCCCTTCCTTTCCCCCATCTACTAACTCCCTACTCTGTTTTAAACTGACAAATCCATACTTTCCTGGGCTTTCTTAACTTGTTTAACTCACTCCAAAATTTTTTCTTATTTTCATTAAAATTTCTTGACAGTGCCTCTCCCACTTTTCATCTGCTCTCCTTTTGCACTCTCTCACCACTCTCTTCACCTTTCTTTTACTCTCCATAACTCTGCTCTTCTTAATAACACTTCTGCTTTGTAAAAACCCTCTCGTAAGCTACCTTTTTCCCTCTTTTATCTACCCTTTACTTCATCAATTCCACCAATCACTCCTCTTTCCTCCTGCCCCACCCCCTTTTATAACCACAAACTTCTGCCCCACATTCAAATACTGCATTTTAAAACTATTTCCAACCCTCTTCAACCTCCCCACTACTCACTTTGCACTAGCCCCCTTTCTGCCAATAGTCGCTTATATCTCGCCCGAACTTCCTCCCCCCTTTTATTTATACATTTTTCACCCCCCCTTTTACTTGTTGTTGCCACCTTCCTCTTTTCCCTCTACCTCTTACTCTAACTGTAGCTACAACTAAATAATGATCTGATATATCAGTTGCCCCTCTATAAACATGTACACCCTGGAGCCTACCATCAATCTTTTATCCACCAATACATAATCTAACAAACTACTTTCATTCGTGCTACATCATACCTTGTATATTTATTTATCCTTTTTTTCATAAAATATGTATTACTTATTACCAAATTTTTTTCTACACTAGCTCAATTAAAGGCTCCCCATTTACATTTACCCTGGCACCCCAAATTTACCTACTATCCCTCCATAACATTTTTACCCACTTTAGCATTGAAATCCCCAACCACCATTACTCTCACACTTGATTCAAACTCCCCATGCATTCACTCAACATTTCCCAGAATCTCTCTCTCTCCTCTACACTTCTCTCTTCTCCAGGTGCATACACGCTTACAAAAACCCATTTTTTCACATCCAGTTTTTATTTTACTCCACATAACCCTTGAATTTATGCATTTGTAGTCCCTCTTTTCCTCCCACAGCTTATCTTCAACATTATTGCTACTTCCTTCTTTAGCTCTAACTCTATTTGAAACCCCTGCCCTAATCCCATTTATTCCTCTCCATTGAAACTCTCCCACCCCCTTCAGCTTTGTTTCACTTAAAGCCAGGAAATCCAGTTTCTTCTCATTCATAACATCCACAATCATCTCTTTCTTATCATTTGCACAAACATCCACGCACATTCAGACTTCCCACTTTGACAATTTTCTTCTTCTTATTCTTTTTAGTAATCTTTACAGGAAAAGGGTTACTAGCCCATTTGTTCCCCGGGCATTTCAGTTGACTTTAAAACACGCATGGCTTACGGAGGAAAGATTCCTGTTCCACTTCCCCATGGATATAAAAGGAAAAGTAATAAGACCAAGAACTATTAAGATAAAATCAAAGAAAACTCAGATGAGTGTGTATAAATAAACGTGTACATGTATGTGTAGTGTGACCTAAGTGTAAGTAGAAGTAGCAAGACGTACCTGTAATCTTGCATATTATGAGAAGACAAAAGACACCAGCAATCCTACCACCATGTAAAACAATTACAGGCTTTCATTTTACACTCGTGTATATATATATACAGTGGACCCCCGCATAACGATGGCATCACATAGCGATTTTTCCGCATAACGATTACTTTTATCGCAAAATTTTTGCCGCGCATACCGATTAAAAACCCGCTTACCGATTTTCGTCCGAGACGCGTCCAATGTGCCCTCACATGTGCCGGCCGTCCCATTGTTTACCAGCCAGCCTCCGCGGTAACATCCAAGCATACACTCGGAAATTTTCGTATTATTACAGTGTTTTCGGTGCTGTTTCTGGAAAATAAGTGACCATGGGCCCCAAGAAAGCTTCTAGTGCCAACCCTGTGGTAAAAAGGGTGAGAATTAGTATGGAAATTAAGAAAGTTTTTTGAAGGGTTTGGGGCTAACCCTGAGAAGCCTATGCCAGTTGTGGAATCCATTGTGCCTACTTCAAAGATTAAGGAAATGTGTGCACAGGGGGGTTGAAAATGCAAACCTTTATAGATGAAAATCACCCTGACACAGCTGTTGCAAGCCGTGCTGTTGACTATTTCAATGACAATGTTGTGGCCCATTTTAGACAAATCGTAAAAGGAACGGAGGTACAGAGCTCTATGGAAGATTTGTTGTGCGACAGAGGTCCAGTGACTCTCAAGCTGGTCCTAGTGGCATTAAAAGAAGAAGGGAAAATAACCCCGGAAAAGGACTTGCTACCTCAAGTCGTAATGGAAGGGGATTCCCCTTCTAAACAGTAAGAAGATAATGCTCTCCCCTCCTCCCATCCCAAACAATCATCACCAGATCTTCAATAAAAGTAAGTGTCATTTTAATTGTGCATGCCTTTTTCAGTTTGTGTGTATTAAAATTAACATTTCATGTGGTAAAAAAAAATTTTTTTCATACTTTTGGGCGTCTTGCACGATTAATTTTATTTCCATTATTTTTATGGGGAAAATTCATTCGCATAAAAGATTATTTCGCATAACGATGAGCCCTTTGCACGGAAATTTAAAAACGTTAACCGGGGGTCCACTGTATATATATATATATATATTTTTTTTATTTTTTTTTTATTATCACACCGGCGATTCCCCCCAAGGCAGGGTGGCCCCAAAAGAAAAACTTTCACCATCATTCACTTTCCCTCACTGTCTTGCCAGAAGGGTGCTTTACACTACAGTTTTTTAAACTGCAACATTAACAAACCCCTCCTTCAGAGTGCAGGCACTGTACTTTCCCCTCTCCAGGACTCAAGTCCGGGGCCCGCCGGTTTCCCTGAATCCCTTCATAAATGTTACTTTGCTCACACTCCAACGCACGTCAAGTATTAAAAAACCCTTTGTCTCCATTCACTCCTATCAAACACGCTCACGCATGCCTGCTGGAAGTCCAAGCCCCTCGCACACAAAACCTCCTTATACCCCCTCCCTCCAACCCTTCCTAGGCCGACCCCTACCCCGCCTTCCTTCCACTACAGACTGATACATCTTGAAGTCATTCTGTTTCGCTCCATTCTCTCTACATGTCCGGAACCACCTCAACAACCCTTCCTCAGCCCCTTGGACAACAGTTTTGGTAATCCCGCACCTCCTCCTAACTTCCAAACTACGAATTCTCTGCATTATATTCACACCACACATTGCCCTCAGACATGACATCTCCACTGCCTCCAGCCTTCTCCTCGCTGCAACATTCATCACCCCCGCTTCACACCCAATAAGAGCGTTGGTAAAACTATACTCTCATAACATTCCCCTCTTTGCCTCCAAGGACAAAGTTCTTTGTCTCCCCAGACTCCTAAGTGCACCATCACTCTTTTTCCCTCATCAATTTTATGATTCACCTCATCTTTCATAGACCCATCCGCTGACACGTCCATCCCAAATATCTGAATACGTTCACCTCCTCCATACTCTCTCCCTCCAATCTGATATTCAATCTTTCATCACCTAATCTTTTTGTTATCCTCATAACCTTACTCTTTCCTGTAATTTACCTTTAATTTTCTTCTTTTGCAACCCCCAAACCCAAAATTTATCCACCAATCTCGCAACTTCTCTTCAGAAAACTCCCAAGAGCACAGTGTCATCAGCAAAAAGCAGCTGTGACAACTCCCACTTTGTGTGTGATTCTTTATCTTTAACTCCACGCCTCTTGCCAAGACCCTCGCATTTACTTCTCTTACAACCCATCTATAAATATATTAAACAACCACGGTGACATCACACATCCTTTTCTAAGGCCTACTTTTACTGGGAAAAAAATTTCCCTCTTTCCTACATACTCTAACTTGAGCCTCACTATCCTCGTAAAAACTCTTCACTGCTTTTAGTAACCTACCTCCTACACCATACACTTGCAACATCTGCCACATTGCCCCCTATCCACCCTGTCATACGCCTTTTCCAAATCCTAAATGCCACAAAGACCTCTTTAGCCTTATCTAAATACTGTTCACTTATATGTTTCAAATGTAAACACCTGGTCCACACACCCCCTACCTTTTCCCAAAGCCTCCTTTTTCATCTGCTTTTCCCATTCTCCGTCTTACTCTTAATTCTTTCAATTATAACTCTACCATACACTTTACCAGGTACATCAACAGACTTATCCCCCTATAATTTTTTGCACTCTCTTTTATCCCCTTTGCCTTTTATACAAAGGAACTATGCATGCTCTCTGCCAATCCCAGGTACCTTACCCTCTTCCATACATTTATTAAATAATTGCACCAACCACTCCAAAACTACATCCCCACCTGCTTTTAACATTTCTTTTTTTTATCCCCTCAATCCCGGCTGCCTTACCCCTTTCCCTTTTACCTACTGCCTCACGAACTTCCCCCACACTCACAACTGGCTCTTCCTCCCCTCCTACAAGATGTTATTCCTCCTTGCCCTATCAAAGAAATCACAGCTTCCCTATCTTCAAACAACATTTAACAATTCCTCAAAATATTCCTTCCATCTTCCCAATATATATATATATATATATAATAATATAATATATATATATATATATATATATATTTTTTTTTTTTTTTCAACAAGTCGGCCGTCTCCACCGAGGCAGGGTGACCCAAAAAAGAAAGAAAATCCCAAAAAGAAAATACTTTCATCATCATTCAACACTTTCACCACACTCGCACATTATCACTGTTTTGCAGAGGTGCTCAGAATACAACAGTCTAAAAAGCATACAATATAAAGATACACAACATATCCCTCTAAACTGCCAATATCCCAAACCCCTCCTTTAAAGTGCAGGCATTGTACTTCCCATTTCCAGGACTCAAGTCCGACTATATGAAAATAACAGGTTTCCCTGAATCCCTTCACTAAATATTACCCTGCTCACACTCCCAAAAGATCGTCAGGTCCCAAGTATGTATGTATGTATGTATGTAATGTATAATTTTAATATATATATATATATATATATATATATATATATATATATATATAAATATATATATATATATATTTTATATATTTTATTATATAAATAACAGTATTATTTCATAATTTCATAGCATCTATACTGCACATCACCTAATGAGCTCATGCCTAAATATTAGACTCTTGGAGGTAGATATTACATACCATTGAAGAAGTGAGGCTGAGGCTTTTAACAGTTGTGCTATTTTATCACTTGCTTCAAAATATCTCCAAGTATAAAGAGTAAAAAGTCACAATACCATATATGAAACAATTTTCAAGTGCAATTTTTTTTGGTGTATATTTTTCAAGTACATATTCAGTTTGGTTTCTATAGTAATGGCTTTTGTCTATGGAGTATTACATGCCTTACCACTTGATGGCCTTTTGAAACCTATTTAGGATGGGGTTGGACATGAAGTACTAGCAGTACCAAGGGGCAACTTGAGTCCTCCCATCACCCTCCATACCTACCATTTAACAAGCGCTGTGCATGCCAGGTCTGCCTGGCTAATTTGGTGATCATAAAGATTAACCAATTTGCTTAGTTGATTGTGCAAGCACTAAATGGCTATTTCTTAGTACAGTACACTGTTTTCCTAAATAATAAGACAATGCTATTAGATGGTCTTTCATGTATTGGGGCTTTCTTATGCATTACAGTATTTTTAGGCCATTTTCATAATTTGTACTGTAATTTCTTTTAGCATCCATATAATATTTGTAGCTAGTCTAGACTTTATTCTATATTACCAGTATATTATATTTTTATAATCCAAGAAAATTTCCAGTCTTAATTTCAAAGGTTACAAATTGTCTCTTGATTCTGTAGGTTAAACTGCCATAGCCTTCACACAACTCGTAACATTGAGCAGAGCTCAGGAAGGGATCCACCACCATCTAGAATGAAAGTATTTTACATTCCAAATCCTTTGAAATGGCTCCATAATCGTATGACTATTGCTACACTTCAGAGAGAATGGGATTCCAGTTTTGATGAAATTTCTTTTAAGTTTGGAGCTACACAGGTCAGTGTTATTATTATTACTATTATTATTATTTATTCACAAACATTTGGCAGTGCCACATGGCGAAGGGAAAGTCAGTGAGGGATAAAAACGGGAGAGAATGGTTATTGTTAAATAGGAAGATGTTATTGGATGATAGCTGCTTCCTATTATTTTCTGAAAGTATTATGTACAATGTATGTTTATAAGCTACAGTATAAAATCCTCATTTCCAGTGGAATTGGGTGTAATAGATGTGAAGTTACAAGATATTCAGTATATTCATGAAAAATATTTTGTAGCATGAAAGGTTGTTGAGTGTACACTTTAATACCCAGTTTGTCTACATTGTATGGTATATGCCAGAGCCAGTGGCAGACCTACACTTTTGGAGCCCTGAAACTTGAACTGTTATGGGGTCCCATTCACAACCAGCAATGAGGTCTGGATAACCACTGTTATCTTCATTGCAGTTGTTCCACAGCAGATCATCACAAATTTAACCACTACATCTTAGATTTTGATTAAAATTGCTGTACTGGATTATCAGTGTGTACTAAAGTTGCTTCTGGGGCCCCTCCAGGATTAGGGGCCTTGAAGCTTAAGCTTCATTAGTTTCATAGTAGATCTGCCCCTGGCCAGGGGTGAGCCATATCAGCAGCTTAGCCTGCCTACATAAACTTCATGTACCCCACAGTTTTGTCTGTAAAATTTTAAATATTTAATAGCTTAAATTCATGTTTTCCATTTACGTATATACATAAAAAAGATGAAGATACATTATTGATATCAGTTAAAATTAGGTTAAAGACAAGAAAACATTGAGCTGACATTTATTCAGTAAATGCATTTTCATATTAATGAAAACATGAGAAGCTCTCACACCACGTGAAGAATATAAGCACTTATTTACGTACACTTGTTGCATAAAGGAGGCAAAATAATTTATTTTTAACATGACGTCCACCTCCTACAGAGGCACATTAAAAAAAGTTAATTTGAAAAATTGCAGAAATTTATCTAAATAATAACTAACTCATTAGCCAAGTACATGTATTTTCCATATTTTATTGTAACTGAATAATTTACAGAAATATTGACACAAATTGACATTTTGTACTGGTCTTCTAAAATGTTTATATTATACAGTAGTAGAGTGCAAGAACAATATTTCAATTATATAGTTTATTCTTTCTCTTAGGATCTCTCTTATTTCATTTAGTATATCATTAAATATTGTCAACATTTTCTTTTTGAACTTTTCATACAATTCCTTTAGGTACAAAACAGAAAAATAACAAATTATTCCAAATAAAATTAATATTTTCTATGTACCACAAAAGACAGCACACAGTCCCCATGTTTAGTAATTCTTGTCTTTACAGCTTGCACTCAATTATGAATTACAGTAATGTTGGGTATTTCCATAGAGGTATACATTAATTTTTCTTCTAGTCTGTTTTTGTGTAATAATTTCAAAGTTCCCAAATTATTTGTTTCAAACTTAAAATGCTCATGTGTATGACCCCATGATTATAATAATAATATTGGGAAGGTGAATGAAACCATTCTCATGGTAGATCTTGAAGAATTTAGGAACTAACGCCTCTTGCATAAAGGATTGTATTTGCCATCAGTTACACTGTGCTGTCAAGTTGGTCAAGGTCTTTCCACCATATTAGTTGATATAGGCAACTATGTCAGGTTGGATAATAGGCTGAATGAGTTTAAAAAGAATACATTTTATAACTTCTCTTTTTTACTATTTCTACAGGAGAATGGGTTACTAGCCCATTGCTCTTGGCATTTTAGTCACCTCATACGACATGCATGGCTTACGGAGGAAAGATTCTTTTCCGCTTCCCCATGGAGAATAGAGGGAATAAAGAAGAACAGGAACTATTAAGAAAAAGAAGAAAAACCTAGATGTGTGTATGTACATATATATATATATATATATTGGAGGCAGTGGAGATGTCCTGTTTAAGGGCAATGTGTGGTGTAAATATTATGCAGAAAATTCGGAGTGTGGAAATTAGGAGAAGGTGTGGAGTTAATAAAAGTATTAGTCAGAGGGCAGAAGAGGGGTTGTTGAGGTGGTTTGGTCATTTAGAGAGAATGGATCAAAGTAGAATGACATGGAAAGCATATAAATCTATAGGGGAAGGAAGGCGGGGTAGGGGTCGTCCTTGAAAGGGTTGGAGAGAGGGGGTAAAGGAGGTTTTGTGGGTAAGGGGCTTGGACTTCCAGCAAGCGTGCGTGAGCGTGTTAGGAGTGAATGGAGACGAATGGGACTTGGGACCTGACGATCTGTTGGAGTGTGAGCAGGGTAATATTTAGTGAAGGGATTCAGGGAAAACCGGTTATTTTCATATAGTCGGACTTGAGTCCTGGAAATGGGAAGTACAATGCCTGCACTTTAAAGGAGGGTTGGGATATTGGCAGTTTGGAGGGATATGTTGTGTATCTTTATATGTGTATGCTTCTAGACTGTTGTATTCTGAGCACCTCTGCAAAAACAGTGATAATGTGCGAGTGTGGTGAAAGTGTTGAATGATGATGAAAGTATTTTCTTTTTGGGGATTTTCTTTCTTTTTTGGGTCACCCTGCTTCGGTGGGAGACGGCCGACTTGTTGAAAAAAAAAAAAAAAAATATATATATATATATGCATGTGCATGCCTGTGTAGTGTGACCTAAGTAGAAGTACCGAGATGTACCTGTTATCCAGCGTGTTTATGAGACAGAAAAGAGGGACACCAGCAATCCTACCATCATAAAACAGTTACAGGTTTCTGTTTCACACTCTGAAGGAGGGATGTTAATGTTGCAGTTTTATAACTGTACTGTAAGCACACCTCTGGCAAGACAATGATGGAGTGAATGATGGTGAAAGTTTTCCTTTTTCGGGCCACTCTGCCTTGGTGGGAGATGGCCGATGTGTTAATAAAAAAAAATATATTTTATAACTAAATTTCAGAACATTGAATGAATATTAGGATGGAGTGGGGATGTTGTAGCTTGGAGGGTTATTTGAAGTTAGATATATGTGCATTTCTGGCAAGACAGCTACCAGATGAATGATTGTTTCTTTTTTATGTATCACCTGCAAAGCTGTATGACCCTTGTGGGTTTAGTGCTTAGTTCTGATTGTAATAATAATAATAATGTATCACCATGCCTTGGTGAGTGTTGGTGTGGTTAAAAAAAAAATAGAATTCTTTGTAATTTATTTTACTTATATTTCAGAATGTTTCATGTAAAAATTATATTTGCAATATCCAATATCTTCAAAAACTCATTATACTCTGTTTTCAGGCTGTGTGTACCGTTACCGAGCATATTAGTAGACGAGATTGGGGCGAACTCTGTGGACTTCTGACTCAAAAAGCCATTGATAAAATTCGCAATACAAAGTGGACTCATGACCAGGTATATCACTTGTATGCAATACTATAATGAATTGAGATGAGATAAATTGTTTTTCAGCAAGCAAAATTCAAGGGTTGATAGCAAGGTAGAATGTGTTAGAAATTTAAAATTATAACTGCATAGGTAAGAAAATGGGAATTCTGGGTAAGAGTACATTACAATATTTCAAGAGGAGTGCTGTGAAACCCATATCGGTTTAGCACTCTTATCTGATATTATAATAATAATTAAAAATAATTAAAAATAAAGTAAAAATAATTAAGAATAATAATATTTTTATTATTAACCCTTTGAGGGTCGACAGGCCCTCTCCGAAACTCGTTCTCAGGGTCGGCCAAATTTAAAAAAAAAAAATTATTTTCTCTTATGAAAAGATAGAGAATCTTTTCCCGATCATAAAGACACCAAAAGTTTGAAATTTGATAGAAAACTTACGAAATTATGCTCTCGCAAAGTTAGCGGTCTCGGCGATGTTTACGCATCGGCGATTTTGCCCACTTTGAGCCCCATTTTCGGCCAATTTCGCTGTACTAGTCGACAAAAAACATGAATATTTCGCTAGAAACTCCATTTTTTCTATCGAATGGGTGCAAGAAACTACCCATTTATGAAATTCAACTATCCAGTACAGTGGTCAGAATTTTAACAATTTTGCCAATTTCACACAAATTTCAAAAGATGCCAATTTCTGAATAGGGTCCAGAATAAACAAGAAAGACATTCCTGGCACTAAAATGACATTTCTCTAGTCATTAGTCACGTCTCAAGGCCCCTCTTATATTCTTTTGCTTTCCATTTTGAATTTTTATTCTCACAAAAAATATAAGATTTACTGTTATGCAGACTACTGCATTAGTGTAAAAAATGGTATAAATATTATTGGTGCACTTGTGAAAGAATATTAGACTCACCAGTTGACGTGTATTGCACGCTTGGCACGATTTGTTTACTTTTGAAGTTTGGTAAAAATCGAACATTTCTGCTACTTTGAGCTCAATTTCAAGGCACCTTTCATTGTAAAACCAGCCAAAATCATCTCAATTTCTGTAATATGTCTTCCATTCTATAAAATGAGACCAAGAAAACTAGAATACACCAATAAATACCATATGAAAATACACTGCAAAGTCGCTGATTTATTCCAAAAAAATGGTCAAAGTTTTTTTTTTCTCATTATGCACTGTGTGCTGCAGGATTTTTTTTAGACTGTGCACACTGACCACATAGACCCATTCTTTCATATGAAGGCCTACCAGCTTTCTCCCACTAGATTTGAGGCCGCTAGAATTTATGCATACTAGTACGTCAAAAACCCCTACGCGTAAGACGTACTAGTACGATGAAAACCCTCAAAGGGTTAATAAGGGAAAATGTGGGAAGCCTCTGTTTTAATGGTGAATATATAACCACATACTATTTCACTGTCAGTTTTAGATTATACATTTGTATAACATTCAACATATTTAATAAAATAATGTCATTTTTTATACACTGTATACATTATTGTCTTCAAGTATTAATGTATGAAAGTTTTACTGGTACAGCATGTACTTACTGATTTTTTTAGCTTATGAATGTGTATAAATGATGAAGTTTGTTTCCTTAAGTACAGTATGTAGGGGAGAAGACTAATTAGGAACACAGAAGGAAAAAATCTGTATGAATGAGAGTAAAATAATATAATCAAAGTGCTAAACCTGTAAGAGCCAATGAGTAGTGAAGCAGCAGTCTTAGCACAGAATTAAAATATTTAAATAGGATGTTTGATATGAATTAAAATACAGCCTCTCCTCGCTTAGCGATATACGTACTCGTTTTCCGACCACTCGGACTTATGACCAGCTCTCCATCCAGTGTGCAAACCTAAATAATGTATAGTAGAACCGATGTCCTCTATTCTATTTATTACAGTATACAGTAAACTACTATTGTATAGACATTTAAAAATATACCAGTGATGTTATAAATGGTGCAAAGGTGACATTAAAATATGCTGCTTGCTTAACGACCAGTTCACTTACCAACCTACTCTTAGGAACTGAACCCTGTTGCTAAGTGAGGAGAGGCTGTATTTAAATAGGATATTTGATGTGAATTAGCTGCACATTAGTATTCATTTGGATCTCTAAAATCCTCATTAAAGGCATTGAACAAAAATTTGATTTTGTATGGATTGGCAGATAGGAACAGAATAATCCTAAATGCCTGCTGCATTAATATGGTAGGGATATGAGTAAGTATGAAGGCATTCAGGGAAACCTGTTAGTTGGACTAAGTCCTGGAGGTGGGAAGTACAGTGCCTGTACTCTGAAGGAATGGTTGTTGATATGTTGCAGTTTTTTAACTGTAGTGTAGGCACACCTCTGGCAAGACACTGATGGAGTGAGTGATGACGAATGCTTCCAGTGTGTTAATCAAAAATATAATAAATATGTTGGGATAAACCAGTATGAATGTGGATGAGCGATAGAACCATCATAAGAGAAAAAAGGGCACTCACCGTTTTTCTCAAATAGACTTCTTGCACTCAGTATCAGCTACATTATTTTCTTGTTGGATCAGCACTGTATGCATGTATCATGTCATTACAGGTCAACAACCTTGTTCTTTCTACTGAAAATATTCAAGTGACACAAGTGAACAATGTATCGCTACAGACAGTTGTTGGTAAGTACAGTGCTTATTTAACCCTTAAACTGTGTTTGCACACATAGCGCTCCGACCCTGATTTTCTCCATAAGAAACAACGTAAAAAAACATAGATCTACATTCGGAGCGCTATGCGAGCAAACGTAGATCTACGTTTGGACAGTTTAAGGGTTAATTATTATTATTATTATTATAATCAAGGGGGAAGCGCTAAACCCGGTGGATTATACAGCGCCTGGGGGGGGATGTGGAAGGCATTCAGGCTTAATTCGGGGAACTGGGCACAGATCCAATTCCCTAAATCAAGAGCCTCTCACCAACATCAAGGAACCTTCCTTGAGGGGAGTTTAAGGGTTAAGATTGACTTAAATAATGACTTAAGATTTAATTAGTTGGAGGAGCATTCCATTAACAGACAGTCAGTCATGTGAGTTGAAAGTCCAGAGGCAGAATGAAGAGCTGGAGATCAACAGTAGATGTGTTTTGTTCAGAAACCTAGACACTAATTGAAGTATATGATGAAAAGTGTTCTTAAGAGTACCATACTATACTTTAAATATCAAGAATAATTAGTAATCAAAGAAATGGAAAAGTGAATAATGCTAATTTTAAAATTTTTACACTCTTAAGGTTTTTTTTTTATAAATATGGAATTTATAGTTGGCAGCATCATAAGATTGGGAAATAAATTTGAAAAGTATTATAACAACCTGTGTAACTTAGAAATGATCCTGAGGTGATACTTTTTATACAGTTTTCCAAAAATATCATATTAAGAGAGTTTTGTATTTACTGTAAATAAGGTGATGAGGGTATCAAATGATTTAAAGAAAAATTGAATATCAAATTGGAGAGGAGGAGTATGGAAGTGAATGTTTTCAGATATTTGGGAGTTGACGTGTCAGTGGATGGATGGATGGATGAAGGATGAGGTTAACCATAGAATTGATGAAGGAAAAAAGGCGAGTGGTGCATTGTGGTATGTGTGGAGAAAAAAAACTATCTATGGAGGCAAAGAAGGGAATGTATAAAAGTATAGTGGTAACAACACTCTTATATGGGTGTGAACCTTGTGTTGTAAATGCTGCAGCAAGGAGGCGGTGGAGATGTCCTGTCTAAGGGCAATGTGTGGTGTAAATATTATGCAGAGAATTTGGAGTGTGGAAATTAGGAGGTGTGGAGTTAATAAAAGTATTAGAGGGCTGAAGAGGGGTTCCTGAGGTGGTTTGGTCATTTAAAGAGAATGGATCAAAGTAGAATGACATGGAGAGTGTATAAATCTGTAGGGGAAGGAAGGTGGGGTATGGGTCATCCTCAAAAAGGTTGGAGGGAGGGGGTAAAGGAGGTTTTGTGGGCGAGGAGGGGCTTGGACTTCCAGCAAGCATGTGTGAGCATGTTAGATAGGAGTGAATGAAGACGAATGGTATTTGGGACCTGATGAGCTGTTGGAGTGTGAACAGGGTAATATTTATTGAAGGGATTTAGGGAAACCGGTTATTTTTATATAGCCGGACTTGAGTAGTACTGGAAATGGGAAGTACAATGCCTGCACTTTAAAAGAGGGGTTTGGGATATTAGCAGTTTGGAGGGATATGTTGTGTATCTTTATACGTGTATGCTTCTAAACTGTTGTATTCTGGGCACCTTTGCAAAAACAGTGATTATGTATGAGGTGAAAGTGTTGAATGATGATGAAAGTATTTTCTTTTTGGGTCACTCTGCCTCGGTCAGAGACGGCCAACTTGTTAAACATATATATATATACAGTGGACCCCCGGTTAACGATATTTTTTCATTCTAGAAGTATGTTCAGGTGCCAGTACTGACCGAATTTGTTCCCATAAAGAATATTGTGAAGTAGATTAGTCCTGCTCATACCCCCCAAACATACACGTACAAACGCACTTACATAAATACACTTACATAATTGGTCGCATTGGGAGGTGATCGTTAAGTGGGGGTCCACTGTATATATATATATACTATATATATATATTTTTACACTAAATATTTTTATAAATGCACAATTATTAAATTTTACATTTTTTTAACATAGTAATACTATATTGTGTATAATTACAGGGTGACTCTTTTTCAGATCGAAAGTACTGTGACATTGATGTTACTATAATAGGAACTCGCATCCCTTACAACATTGAAAAGCATTCACTGATTGTTCTGGAATATTTTGCTAGGTATGTTTTGAATTTTTTCAACACGAGTCTTTGAAATATTGTAAGCCCTCTTGTAATCAAGGGGATACACTTCTGAAAATCTGTGCCTTATGGAAACATCATTGCTAAGTTAATTTTAAGCCAGCCCGTAATGCTATGCATATAAGTGGCTTTGGCATGCTGCTCTTACCTGTATTTTTTGTACCTCTGTTTGTATGCTAAATTTCTAAATAAAATAAATAAAATAAAAATAAAATAAAACAGCAATATGAAAAGTGAAGAACATAAAGCAAAAATGGGTTATGTTCCAGAGACTTTCAATTTTTTTTTTTTTTTATTTAATATGAAATACAAATTACAACAATGTATCTTGCATTACATTCTAGATGTTGCTTTCTGACATGATGTGGAGAGAGTTGATGTGGATTTGCTGGGGTGAGGTGGATGGCTGTGGCTGTGTTGATATACTGTAGATAGAGTTGTCAGTAGTGAATGCAAAAACAGGATGCACTTTTTCAGTTGTGTTTAGACAACATTGCACTATCTACTGTCATGTTATAAGAGGGTTCACAGTATACAGTAAACCCCTCACTTTAACTAATGGGAGAAGGGTGGGGGTGGCTAGAGATGAAGTTTTGATGTAATCATAACAATAATGAATTCTGTAACCAACATTCTTTGTCAGTTGTTTCAGAATAAGAGGCAACTGAAGTGCTGGGAGCAAGGAGCTAGCAACCCCCTCTGTATAAATTACTAAATGTAAATGTGTTTCTTCTTTTTCGGATCATACCACCTTGGTTGGAGACAGCCACTGAGTTTAAAAAAATATTATATTAATGAGGAAGTGCTAAATCTTTAAGGATTTTACAGTGGCTGGGGAATGGAAGGTAACCAAGTCGATCTGAGGAAGGGGAGGGGTAGCTCCAATTCCATTAATGAAAAGCATTTTAGCATCAAGGCATCTCCTCTTAAAGGGTATTACTATTATAGTACTACAGTAAAATTTATATGTATGCACCACTCAAATGCAAATCCCTGAATATTTAAAATTTTAATCATTCATGATTATTTTATTTTTGCAGGTTTCATCGAGAATATACTGAAGGCAAGCTTCCTGAATGGACTATTACTGTATTTAGACTCCAGAACTTCCAGGCAATATCAAGAAGAGATACAGACAGAGAGTGAATGACTGTTTTAGATCACCGTCCTTGAGGAATATGCCCAATATGCTAAACTATGTATATAACATACGTGTAACATTTAAATTAAAAAATAGCAAGATGAAGAATTATTATTCTCAAAACTCTGAAGCCATATGGGTCATTCAGTGTTGCAGTGTGGGTGAAAATGTAAGTGTGATGTGCTGTGGGAAGAAAGTCAGTGGTTAGGAAATTTTGAACCAAGAGAATAAGTGTTTAAAAATAGTGTACTGTAGAAGCAGCAAAATGTGAAGAATGATACATATTTTAAGTTGTATTTGAACATTTTTAATAATTTTTTATCACAGTGTAATTAATCTACATTTTCCTCAATGATGGAGCAGTGCTAAATGCATAGGGGGGGTCACACAGTGCCTGGGAGGCATTCAGGTTCAATCTAAGGAAGGGGAGGCTAAGTCCAGTTCCTTGGATCAATAGCCCCTCACCAGCATCAAGGCACCTTCCTTGAGGGGTAATCAAATAATTATAACTTACAATGAGTAGTAAAATAAAGAACATTATTCTGATCATGTTTGTGTGTTTATAATGCACTATATCAAAACAAATTAAGATTTTTTCTTTATTACAGAATATGATTATTATAGTTTCTCATATTGTACTATAATTTATCATTACAATTTCTACATTTTGTGCATTATAGTAGTGAGTGGTTACAGCTGGCATCATCAAGGATGATCAGTCTACAGCACTGTGATGGGTAATGGTCTCTAGTTGTCCCACCTTCACATTCCTGGGATGGTTAATGGTCTCCAATTGTCCCACCTGAATGTTGATTATCTTCCCCAGCTCACTATTAGATGGTTCTTCCTCCATTTGCTCCTCTTCCTCAGGCAGTTCCCACCAAGGGGCATCACTGTACAGCTGAGGCCATGTCATGGGGTCAAAGGGCATGTAGTTTAGAAGAAGGCCTTGACAAGGGAGAAACCATTATAAGCTGAGAGGGTATGTAATCTAAGCAAATAGAGTTGACTTTTTTGTTATAAACTTCATACAGAAAGTTACTATAATGTACTACTTTTGGCCATATTACAAAAATACACAAGCTTTGTTGTACTCCTGCAGCTACAAGTAAGCTATAACACACAGATAAAGGTGCATAGTTAACTACACACAGGAAATGCAAACATGGCAAGATGTCATGCTTACCAGAAGCTCCACCAGCTGTCAGAGCCATCAGGAGGGTGATGAGGGTGGCCAAGGCCTGGTAGAATGCCTGTTTTTCTGCAGTGCGACCTTCACCAGGAGCCACGTCCTCCAGTTCTGGTATGAGGGGGAGACTGGAGGAAATGTTGATAGCTGGGGCCATAACTGGGTACTGCAGGTACAACCTGTAATTAATAATAATAGCAAGACACAATATTTAGCCCTCAACATGGTGTGTTAGAGGAAGATGGAGTAATGAAATAATTTTATATTTCTATGTCTACCATAAATGTATACCACTACTTTGAGCCAAGCAAGAGAAAACCACAAAAGCACAGCAATAACTACAGGATCTGGTGGTACACAATGCTGTGGGACCTACTGCTATGTTAAGCCACAACCTAGTGATAAAGTAACCATGTAGGACCTAAAAGTAATGCACAACTTTATTGACTTTTTTTTTTTAACATCGGCCATTTCCACCGAGGTAGGGTAACCTGAAAAAAAAGAAACACTTTCACCATCACTCATTCCATCACCATCTGGCTAGAGGCACACCAACATTACAGTTCAGATGCCCCTCTAGACTACAATATCTCCACCCCTCCTTCAGAATTATTATTACAACAGGGGTGTCCCTTAAAAACCCCTTTTTAAGCATGGCAATTTTGGAACTGGGGTTTCTCTAAAAAACCCCTCAAAATGGTTACCTTGCCCCTCACTGGTGGTTAAAATTAATTAAATTTTTCCCGAAAAAGACTAGTCCCTGGTAGTAAACAAAATGTTAATTCTATGGGACTAGATAGTACACAAAATAATCCCTTTAGACTAGGCAGTGTAGACAACCTCATGTGGCCTGACAGCACACACCACAATAATCTCAAAAGGACTGTTTCTAGACACAAGAATAATCTAGCACGGTCTGGTAGTTTGGCACTTTCCCTATTAATGTAATAATAAGTAACAAATTAAAATCTTGGTACATATGGTTATAAGGAAGAGCTCACTATGGATGCAGTGCAAGTAACAGTTGTCCAAGTCATTTTTATATTTCGCAGTACTGACACTAACAGGGATATGATGCCTAGTGATAAATGCAACAATAACCCCCAAGGAACTTTCAGTACTACTCACTCTTTTCCATAGTTTGCCTCAGAGGCAAAGAAGGCAGCACCAACAGAGACCATAGCAGACAGGAGCCCTGGCATACCATGCAGGTTATGGACACCACAGGTGTCATGGAGACCAAACTTTTCCTGTAGCCACCCCTGTTGCCACACCATTGTTAGATACAATCCAGCCACCAGAGAAAGGGGTAGGACACAGAAGACAAAATTAATGTTTTTCTTTTATTAACTTAAAGACAAGATAGAAGAGAAAAATATACATATAGCCCATTAATATTGTATTTGATTTCACCAGAATTACTATCTAAATGAATTAATGGGTGAAAATTAATAAAAGTAATACCTGGAGGTGGGTATAACCCAGGGTGGAGAGGGCACCTGCAAAGTACCCCAAGAGGAGGGCTCCCCAGGGCTGGATCATGAGGCCAGCCACAGCACCCACAGCTACACCGCCAGCCAGGGTGGCATTCTGAATGTGTACCATTGTCCACTTGTGTTGCCTGCCTCACCAACACCAGCAGACATTCAGTAAATACCACTCATCATCTACCACTCACAAGAGACTACTTATCTACCACTTCATAAATCACTCGCCTACTTCTCGTATGACCAAAATTGCTGTGTGCAAGAAACTTCAGTACTGATGGAAGTATTCAAGTATTAGGTAAAAGGTCAATATAATAATGATCTAGGTTATTAATTTTCCTTATACAGTGGACCCCCGCATAACGATCACCTCCGAATGCGACCAATTATGTAAGTGTATTTATGTAAGTGCGTTTGTACGTGTATGTTTGGGGGTCTGAAATGGACTAATCTACTTCACAATATTCCTTATGGGAACAAATTCGGTCAGTACTGGCACCTGAACATACTTCTGGAGTGAAAAAATATCGTTAACCGGGAGTCCACTGTACTTCTTAAATTCTTGTGAGATAGTTTGCTTTCCAATTTTCTTTTTCATATGCACAGTGTTATTACAGCCACTTCCATTCCTTCTCTGACAGGAATAATTTATTTCCCTAACACTCCATCTGCTTCATGTACACAATACTTGACCTGCACACTCCCTAGCTTCCTCTGGCTGCCTTCCCACAGCAGACAAGACATAGCTTACTTATGTGTTGAGGCAGAGAACATGAAGGCGGCCAGGGTAGAGGCTGAGAGGGAGAGGTATGTGTTGATAACCGCCCGTCCTTGACTTCTGCCACTCTCGACCACGCCATTGAAAGATGGCCAGTACACCCACAGGAACAGTGTACCTACAAAAGTTCAGCATTTCTGACAAATTGTGAGCAATAAAAATCTAATTCAGCATTACAACAGACCATTATAAAATAGCTCTAATCTTTCTGGAGGTGTAATTTGTAAAATAAGCTCTCATAATGGGAGCTCAGTTTATTCAAGGACTTAAAACTACTCCCTTTCCTTAACTCTGATTACTTCCTCCCCTCAAGGGAGGTTCCTTGATGCTGGTGAGGAGATCTTGATCTAGGGAATTGGATCTGTGCTTCAGTTCCCTGAATTGAGCCTGAATGCCTTTTATCCCCCCCCCAGGTGCTCCCCCATAATTATAATAAATATAATAATAATAATCTGATTACTTCCTAGCATTGTATGACCCTTATGCATTTAGTGCTACCCTAGGGATATATAATGTAAATTATGAATGTCCCATCTGCAAGTCAGTAAGAGGCAGAAAAGTGTTTATTTATTATCATGAACATATTGGAGGTGTGGCTTACCAATCATGGAGAACATGTCAGGGATGTAGCCTGAGACCTCTCTGGGATGGTCCTTCACAGGAACCCTTCGTAACACACTCCTCGAGAACCCCAATCCAAAGTAGGCACCAAAGGTGTGGATAAAGATAGAACCTAAGAAAGATTAGCACTAGTTACAAGTTGTGTTATTACAGTCATCAGGAAGTGCTGAATACATAAGGGTCATACAGTCTGACAACTGGGTTATCCTAGAATACATCTAAATAATATGCTCTTAATGTGTCTATAACGTGTACTCTGAGGACCACTTTAAATAACATAGGTTAAATAAATAAAAGCTTACAGCTCCTGGGAAATGGGAAGCAATCAAGTTTGACCTAATAGTCACTGAAAATAAAAGCCCTCTTACTATGCTGAAGGGATTAAAAATAGCAAATCCTTGGTAGTCATTGTCAGCTTAATACAGTGGACCCCCGACTTACGATATTAATTGGTTCCAGAAGGCTGTTCGGGTGCCGTTACCGAATAAATTTGCTCCCATAAGGAATATTGTAAATTAGAGTAGTCCATTTCAGACCCCCCAAAAATACACTTACAAAAGCACTTACAAAAGTACACTTACATAATTGTTCAAGTTGGGAGCTGATCGTAAGTCGGGGGTCCACTGTATTAGGGAGGAGGTTCATGGGGCCATTGACAACTTACAGTACTGAGCCCTGCCTCCACATTTTGTGGTGACTAGATGAACCGATTGTGGATAAGATTGTAACCCAATTACAGTATGACCCACTTTTTTTTGTGGTACACAATAAGATGCCTGATTTTTTGAGACTACATGAACTTCCGTACTGTATTGTGTACATTAGATATATATGAAGTACATGTAATTTAAATACATGAAATGATTAATGTAATGTCACTATGCCCAAAGGAATCTGCTAAAACACATTGTGGCCTTAGTAATCCTATTTTTTTAACACAGGAAGAGCACTGGGAGCACAATGAATTAGCTGCTCAAGTGGCACAACTAAAATTAACCCTCCCCAAAGTGCCTTGAGGCGTGCTGGAAGGCAAATGCAAGGGCCAGGATTTCCTGGCAATATCAGATGCACTAAACCTGTATGGGGTCATGCAACACTATGGATAAGGATGTGTAAGGGTATGAATGTGTGGAGACTAGGAGCGTGCAAGTGGCAGGGGTGTGTGAGGGTAGGGGATTAGTGTCTACTAGACTTATTAAAGCCATACAACATTACCTATTAATACTCAATTCTCCTGCATTCACTGTAAATCATCTAATGACCATTTAATCTGTTCTAGCCTTATTAATCTTAAGTTAATTTTAAGTTTGCCTGAAATGCTCTGCATACGAGGGGCTTTCGGCACGTACACTCAACTATTATATTCCTTTGTATAACCATGTATCATGTCAAAATGAATTTATTATTATTATTATTATTATTATTATTATTATTACAGTTGGTGCAATAAGTTAGCATTTTGTTAAAAAAAAGTCTGCATCAAAGAGAGGATTTCCAAGGTCAGTCAGTGTGTCCTGACAATCAACAGAATTACACCCTTCCTTACTGAACAGGAGTAGCAGGGTCAAGGACTGCACTTCTACAGCTTGTTCACTGATGAAGTCTAATGACAAAGTCTGTTTGTATTAGTGGTAAGTGTTTATTTAGACTTCATACATAGAGTGGGAGAGGCACTGTCAAGAAATTTTAATGAAAATAAGAAAAAATTTTGGAGTGAGTTAAACAAGTTAAGAAAGCCTAGGGAAAGTATGGATTTGTCAGTTAAAAACAGAGTAGGGGAGTTAGTAGATGGGGAGAGGGAGGTATTAGGTAGATGGCGAGAATATTTTGAGAAACTTTTAAATGTTGAGGAAGAAAGGGAGGTGGTAATTTCATGCACTGGTCAGGGAGGTATACCATCTTTTAGGAGTGAAGAAGAGCAGAATGTAAGTGTGGGGAGGTACGAGAGGCATTACGTAGAATGAAAGGGGATAAAGCAGCTGGAACTGATTGGATCATGAAAGAAATGTTAAAAGCAGTGGGGGATATAGTGTTGGAGTGGTTGGTACTTTTGCTTAATAAATGTATGAAAGAGGGGAAGGTACCTAGGGCTTGGCGGAGAGCATGTATAGTCCCTTTATATAAAGGGAAAGGGGACAAAAGAGACTGTAAAAATTATAGAGGAATAAGTTTATTGAGTATACCAGGAAAAGTGTATGGTAGGGTTATAATTGAAAGAATTAGAGGTAAGACAGAATGTAGGATTGCAGATGAGCAAGGAGGTTTCAGAGTGGGTAGGGGATGTGTAGATCAAGTGTTTACATTGAAGCATATATGTGAACAGTATTTAGATAAAGGTAGGGAAGTTTTTATTGCATTTATGGATTTAGAAAAGGCATATGATAGAGTGGATAGGGGAGCAATGTGGCAGATGTTGCAAGTATATGGAATAGGTGGTAAGTTACTAAATGCTGTAAAGAGTTTTTATGAGGATAGTGAGGCTCAGGTTAGGGTGTGTAGAAGAGAGGGAGACTACTTCCTGGTAAAAGTAGGTCTTAGACAGGGATGTGTAATGTCACCATGGTTGTTTAATATATTTATAGATGGGGTTGTAAAAGAAGTAAATGCTAGGGTGTTCGGGAGAGGGGTGGGATTAAATTATGGGGAATCAAATTCAAAATGGGAATTAACAGTTACTTTTTGCTGATGATACTGTGCTTATGGGAGATTCTAAAGAAAAATTGCAAAGGTTAGTGGATGAGTTTGGGAATGTGTGTAAAGGTAGAAAGTTGAAAGTGAACATAGAAAAGAGTAAGGTGATGAGGGTATCAAATGATTTAGATAAAGAAAAATTGGATATCAAATTGGGGAGGAGGAGTATGGAAGAAGTAAATGTTTTCAGATACTTGGGAGTTGACGTGTTGGTGGATGGATTTATGAAGGATGAGGTTAATCATAGAATTGATGAGGGAAAAAAGGTGAGTGGTGCGTTGAGGTATATGTGGAGTCAAAAAACGTTATCTATGGAGGCAAAGAAGGGAATGTATGAAAGTATAGTAGTACCAACACTATTATATGGGTGTGAAGCTTGGGTGGTAAACGCAGCAGCGAGGAGACGGTTGGAGGCAGTGGAGATGTCCTGTCTAAGGGCAATGTGTGGTGTAAATATTATGCAGAAAATTCGGAGTGTGGAAATTAGGAAAAGGTGTGGAGTTAATAAAAGTATTAGTCAGGGCAGAAGAGGGGTTGTTGAGGTGGTTTGGTCATTTAGAGAGAATGGATCAAAGTAGAATGACATGGAAAGCATATAAATCTATAGGGGAAGGAAAGAGGGGTAGGGGTATTCCTCGAAAGGGTTGGAGAGAGGGGGTAAAGGAGGTTTTGTGGGCAAGGGGCTTGGACTTCCAGCAAGCGTACGTGAGCGTGTTAGATAGGAGTGAATGGAGACGAATGGTACTTGGGACCTGACGATCTGTTGGAGTGTGAGCAGGGTAATATTTAGTGAAGGGATTCAGGGAAACCGGTTATTTTCATATAGTCGGACTTGAGTCCTGGAAATGGGAAGTACAATGCCTGCACTTTAAAGGAGGGGTTTGGGATATTGGCAGTTTGGAGGGATATGTTGTGTATCTTTATACGTATATGCTTCTAAACTGTTGTATTCTGAGCACCTCTGCAAAAACAGTGATTACGTGTGAGTGTGGTGAAAGTGTTGAATGATGATGAAAGCATTTTCTTTTTGGGGATTTTCTTTCTTTTTTGGGTCACCCTGCCTCGGTGAGAGACGGCCAACTTGTTGAAGAAAAAACATACTTTTACAAGAATTCTTCCTCCATAAGCCATGAGTGTTGTAAGAGGCAACTAAAATGATGGGAGCAAGGGGCTAGTAACCCCTTCTCCTGTATAAATTACTAAACTAAAAAAGAAAAACTTTTCTTTTTTAGGTCACCCTGCCTTGGTGGGATACGGCCAGTGAGGTACAAAAAAAAAATACTTTTAAACTTTTGCAGTGGGTTTATATAGTAAATTATGTAGAACTAATCCAATAATTTCTGAGAGTAATTTTCCTTTTAAAGTAACTGAAGATTTGGAACAGCATAGTAACCTAATGGAGCATCGTGACAAAAGTTGGAATCATGACAGGAATTCCAAGTGAGATATTAAAAAACCAATATAAGAAATTGTAACTGTCACGGCAAGAGGAAGTCGATGAGGATTATCAGGATTGAGCTTATAGTGGCTCAACAAGCCACTATAAGCTGTAAGGTGCTTATATGGATAAATACATGCATGGAATTTTAGGATTGTTTTAACTCCACTTTCCCTTGGATCAAACATGATTAGGTCCTATTACCTAGGCACTATATGACCCCTATGAGTTCAGCATTTTCTCATTAGTTTTTATTCTGGTTACAAAAAAATAGCTGAACCAATGAGGGTCAGTTTGTCACTGCAAGGCAAAAGGCTTATGTTAAGGGGTAGGGATAAGCATTAAAGGGGAAAGTCATAGTTGGCATAATATGTCAAACAGAAATTCTAAATTAAATGTGGGACTTTTGGAGAGAACGGTAGCGAGTGAAGGTTCTGAAGATGTAAATGAAGCTTACATGTTGTATAGTCATCAATCATAAGATGTTTGTAAGGATGACCTGGAGTTTACCTGGAGAGAGTTCCGGGGTCAACGCCCACGCGGCCCGGTCTGTGACCAAGCCTCCTGGTGGATCAGAGCCTGATCAACCAGGCTGTTGCTGCTGGCTGCACGCAAACCAACGTACGAGCCACAGCCCGGCTGGTCAGGAACCGACTTTCGGTGCTTGTCCTGATGACCAGATGACCTGACAGTCGTCACAGAGATGCTGGGCATCTCTCTGTCTCCACGAAATGTCTCCTGTCCAATATGTCTCCAAATGTCGGCTATCTATTAATGACTGCTGCATAATGTAGAAATTGTTATGTAGCTGTGTAATGTTGATGGCATTCAGGTATCTAACTTGCTCTAGTAGATCAAGTGGGAATAATAACTATTTTGAGACTAGACATAATGGAAGTACTGTGTAACAAATGGAAAATGACCAAAAATGGGGCTGCCCAAACAGAGTAGATCACACAAGTGCTACTTGGGCTTTAATGCCCGAGCGAAATTTTTTTTAATGTTAGGGGAGCCAGCAGAGACCTCTGGGAATTTTACGGATCTTTTAACATTTGTTATTTGTTTAAAATTTTTAACTGATGTTGTTAGGTAAGACACATATGCAACAGTTAGGTATCTTTATTTCGAAACGTTTCGCCTACATAGTAGGCTTCTTCAGTCGAGTACAGAAGAGTTGATAGAAGCAGAAGATACTTGAAGACGATGTAATCAGTCCATCACCCTTGAAGTTTTGAGGTGGTCAGTCCCTCAGTCTGGAGAAGAGATGTAGGCCACTACTAGTGGCCTACATCTCACCTCCTGGTGGTATATAGGCTCCATCCTGTCACTTCTACTCCTATTGTTTCAGACTATGGAACAATACTCTTCTCCAGACTGAGGGACTGACCACCTCAAAACTTCAAGGGTGATGGACTGATTACATCGTCTTAAAGTATCTTCTGCTTCTATCAACTTTTCTGTACTCGACTGAAGAAGCCTACTGTGTAGGCAAAACGTTTCGAAATAAAGATACCTAACTGTTGCATATGTGTCTTACCTAACAACCTGTCGGTACTTTATACCATTTTAATGTTCACTCTGTCAGACACTGCAACACAAGGGTATCTTGGTACAGACCTGAAATCAACTTTGTCAACTTCTACTAGTGAGAATGGCTGGATTTGAGAGGGACCTGACCTTCCAACGACAACATTCTTACCTCTACTAGTGGCCTACATCTCACCTCCTGGCGTTATATAAGGCTCCATCATGTCAATTCAACTCCATATTGTTTCAGACTATGGAACAATACTCTTCTCCAGACTGAGGGACTGACCACCTCAAAACTTCAAGGGTGATGGACTGATTACATCGTCTTAAAGTATCTTCTGCTTCTATCAACTTTTCTGTACTCGACTGAAGAAGCCTACTGTGTAGGCGAAACGTTTCAAAATAAAGATACCTAACTGCTGCATATGTGTCTTACCTAAGAACCTGTCGGTATTTTATACCTTTTTAACTGATGCTGATTTTTGAAAATTAGCGTGGCTGCATTTGTCTGGAAGACCAAATAGAATATTTCCCTGAAGCTTACAGACACTAGTTGCAGGGAAAGGAACAGTGACATGGCAATGAAAAAAGGTCATAGAATAGAAGAGAAAACTATATAAAACATGAGGTGGCAAAAAGACATGCGTGAACAAAAGCATTTGGCGTGAGGTGCATGTTGTTTTTATCAGTATCTTTACGAGGTTCCAGTCAATTCATAAAAATCCGGAAAGTCAATGGTGGGTGCAGGGTCTTACCACCATGGTCGACGACAGCCAGGATACGGTAGCCGATGTAGGCATTGATCTGGTAGATGGGCACTTCTAGCAGTGCCATCAGTAGCAGTTGTGTGGGGGAGGTAGTGCCCAGTGTGGCACCCACAGAGATGAGCACAGCAGCGCAGGTGAAGGCTGCTTGAACCACGCTGATGATGATAGTTTTATCATAAACCCCATACTTATTGTGGGTGGTAGTCATCCCATGCCCATTCTGTGGGTAGTATTCACCTGATATTTATGAATAATGAATTACATTATGAACAAGTACTAATTCTGTAGGGGTCATTAACGCCTTAGTAAAGAAAATAAATTTGATCCGAGGAAAGGAAGGGTAGCTCTAATTCACAAAATCGAAGACCTTCAGCAGCATCAAGGCAGCCCTCGTGAAGGGCACTGCCACCAGAGTATAAGCCAAGGCTCACCTGATAACATTTAAGGTGATGTATCCGTCATTAGCGGTGGTGACGCCGTCAGCCAGCAGCGCCAGCTGTAGGGTGAGGGCTGTGAGGTACAGGGTACAACCCAACCCAGAGTGACCGTACCGTCTCAGGAAGGTCATCAGGAAGCCGAACCCAATCACCATCATCACTCCAACGTCCTGCAACACTGATCAGAGTTGAGGTGAGGGTTGGGTAAGTGTAGAGGGGTTAGGTGAGTGTAGAGGGGTTGGGTGAGTGTAGAGGGGTTGGGTGAGTGTAGAGGGGTTAGGTGAGTGTAGAGGGGTTGGAGTGGGGGTTGGGTGAGTGTAGAGGTGTTGGGTGAGTGTAGAGGAGTTGGGTAAGTGAAGAGGGGTTGGGTGAGTGTAGAGTTGGTGAGTGTAGAGTTGGTGAGTGTAGAGGGGTTGGGTGAGTGTAGAGGGGTTGGGTGAGTGTAGAGGGTTAGGTGAATGTAGAGGGGTTGGGTGAGTGTAAAGGGGTTGGTGAGTGTAGAGGAATTGGTTAAGTGCAGCGGGGTTTGTGAGTGTAGAGGAGTTTCGTAAGTGTAGAGGAGTTGGTGAGTGTAGAGGAGTTGGGTAAGTGTAGAGGGGTTGGGTGAGTGTAGAGGAGTTGGGTAAGTGTAGAGGGGTTGGGTGAGTGTAGAGGGTTGGGTGAGTGTAGAGGAGTTGGGTAAGTGTAGAGGAGTTGGTGAGTGTAGAGGAGTTGGGTAAGTGAAGAGGAGTTGGGTGAGTGTAGAGTTGGTGAGTGTAGAGTTGGTGAGTGTAGAGGGGTTGGTGAGTGTAGAGGAGTTAGGCGAGTGTAGAGGGGTTGGAGTGGGGGTTGGGCGAGTGCCGAGGGGTTGTGTGACTGTAGAGGAGTTGGGGTGAGGTTTAGGTGAGGGATGGATGAGTATAGAGGGGTTGTGTGACTGCAGAGGGGTTGGGGTGAGGATTGGGTATGTAGAGGGGGTTGCATATGTGTACTCATCTATTTGTGGTTGCAGGGGTCGATTCATAGCTCCTGGCACCGCCAGGAGGGTTGAGGTGAGGATTCAACAAGTTTATAGGGGTTGGGGTGAGGTCTGGGTCAGTGTAAAGGGTTTGAGTCAGTGTAGAGTGGTGGGGTAAGTGTGGAGGGGTTCGAACGAGGGTTGTGTTTAGAGAGGTTGACTCAAATGGTATACAATACCGATATGAAGGCAACAAGAGACAAATGAGGAATAATGTGATCCTTTATTGACAACGTTTCGCCCACACCGTGGTCTTTATCAGGTCACAAACAGATCAACCTGGGGAGAGAAGAACTGTACATAGTGAACATAGTGACGTGACGAGTCGGGTGAGGGTAGAATAATGACAGGTTGGATAATAAAGCAATTTTGTCTCTTATTTTCCGTAGGTGTAGATGGGGTTGGGGAGAGAATTAAATATAGAGGGGTTGGGGTGAGGGTTGACTGCAAAGGGGTTAGGGTGAGGGTTGAATGTAGACTGGTTCGGGTGAGGGAAAAGGGGCAGCGTAAATCAGTGGAGCTGAATGAAGGTTTGTAGTAAAAACAAAGAAAAATCACCTGTAGGGTTAACTCAGTGTGGGAAGGTACAAAGGTATGACAAGACACTACCATGTATGAGAGGGTACCTAAACCTGTATTCCCTGGAACGCAGGCGGGAGAGATACATGATTATATACACCTGGAAAATCCTAGAGGGACTAGTACCGAACTTGCAAACGAAAATCACTAACTACGAAAGCAAAAGACTTGGCAGACGATGCAACATCCCCCCAATGAAAAGCAGGGGTGTCACTAGCACGTTAAGACCATACAATAAGTGTCAGGGGCCCGAGACTGTTCAACTGCCTCCCAGCATACATAAGGGGGATTACCAACAGACCCCTGGCAGTCTTCAAGCTGGCACTGGACAAGCACCTAAAGTCAGTTCCTGATCAGCCGGGCTGTGGCTCGTACGTTGGTTTGCGTGCAGCCAGCAGTAACAGCCTGGTTGATCAGGCTCTGATCCACCAGGCCTGGTCACAGACCGGGCCGCGGGGGCGTTGACCCCCGGAACTCTCTCCAGGTAAACTCCAGGTAATACCTGGAGAGTATACCTGGAGGTACCAGAAAACTGGAAAGTTATGGCGATGCCCACAGTATGTAGATAAAGATATATATGCACAGTTCAAGACATTTATTGAGCAAATGTTTCTCCACAAGTAACTTCAGTCCTGAAGAAGCCATTTGTGGCAAAACGTTTCCTCAAGGTCTCGAACTGAGCATGTAAGTCTTTATGTACATACAGGTATCAGAAGATTTCGAAACGTAGCAGCAGGTATGAGAAGGGGCACAGCAGCAGGGACGGATCCAAAGGAAGGGCCTCACGAGACACGAGCCATGGCCCTCGGGGCTCTCAGAAAAAAATTGTTTGCACGAAAAAAAAAAAATCTGTCAATATTGAATTTAGCAACTCTGCTGAACTCAGGCACTTGTTTCTAAACATACAAGCAAGTTATCCCTACCCAGCCAAAAACTATTTTAATGTCAATCAATGAATCTCATATACATACATAATATATTTATATATAATATATATATATATATATATATTTTATATATATATAATATATATATATAATTATATATATATATTAATATATATATATATATATATATATATATATATATATATATATAATATATATTATATATTATATATAATATATATATATTATATAATATATAAAATATATATATATATATATAATATATATATATATATATATATATATATATATATATATTACACACACACACATACACACCATGGTCGGAACAATATCCAACTTACCAAGTTAAAGATGGAAACTAAACGATTTAGTTCGTCCTGGACTTTACAGTTTTCCAAGAGGAACAGGAACCTTGTCTAGTTTCCATATACCCCCCCCCCCCCTAAAAAGTGCAAATGAATGTTTACTTGGATAAAATGTTTGTAGATTGGGAGTGGAGTGCCCATGATAGCTGGTGTAGTTCCATTTGGTACCGTCGTAGAAAGCGTCGTACCGTACAAACACGATGAAGACCAGCATCACTGCGAACTCTATGAGAGAAGCATAAAACACGAACCATCCAACTCTCCTCACTAGGCGCATCATCATGCTGCAAGGAGAGTGATTACCATGGGTCATGGAACAGTGGTTACCATGGATCAGGGAACAGCTGTTACCTTGGGTCTGGGAACAGTTGTTACCATGGATCATGAAACAGTAGTTACCTTGGGTAACTTCATAAGGTTAGCTTAGGCTAATCTTATGAAGTACAAAGTCATAGGTCAGGGAAAATCAACATGTAATACAGGTATTACATTACTGGTGTACAATACAGGCAAGTTGAAGTGAGGGGTCACCAGTACTGGTGACCCCTCACTTCCACACCAGTACTGGTGACCCTCACTATCACCAGTACTGGTGACCCTTCACTTCAACACCAGTACTGGTGACCCCTCACTTCAACACCAGTAATAGTGACCCCTCACTTCAACACCAGTACTGGTGACCCCTCACTTCAACACCAGTACTGGTGACCCCTCACTTCAACACCAGTACTGGTGACCCCTCACTTCAACACCAGTACTGGTGACCCCTCACTTCAACACCAGTACTGGTGACCCCTCACTTCATCACCAGTACTGGTGACCCCTCACTTCATCACCAGTACTGGTGACCCCTCACTTCATCACCAGTACTGGTGACCCTCACTTTATCACCAGTACTGGTGACCCTCACTTCAACACCAGTACTGGTGACCCCTCACTTCCACACCAGTACTGGTGACCCTCACTTTATCACCAGTACTGGTGACCCTTCACTTCAACACCAGTACTGGGACCCCACTTCAACACCAGTATGTGACCCTCACTTTATCACCAGTACTGGTGACCCCTCACTTCAACACCAGTACTGGTGACCCCTCACTTCAACACCAGTACTGGTGACCCCTCACTTCAACACCAGTACTGGTGACCCCTCACTTCAACACCAGTACTGGTGACCCCTCACTTCAACACCAGTACTGGTGACCCCTCACTTCAACACCAGTACTGGTGAATATGAGGCTTGTGCAACACTTTGTCTTTACTGCAGAAACATTTCACCTGCGCAGCAGACTTCTTTAGTTGAATAAACGTAAATATAACACTGAAGACAGTATAAAAAGTAATTCTGAGGTGATCAAGCCGTTAACTTTCATAGGTGGTTTGTTCCTGAACCTAGAGCAGAGGCATGCGGCCAGGTCTTATATACTAGAGCAGAAGGAAGGTGTAGCAGCTGGAGGCTGAAGCACATCATGCTAAATAATAATAATAATAATCTTTATTTCTACAAGTACATGTACAACTTATACGGACCATAGCTGACATCAATGATATATTACTATATAGAAAGCCCTTTGTTATGCAGAGTATTTGGGCAAATTAGGTTATTTTGTTCCCAGGATGCCACCCACATCAGTCGACTAACACCCAGGTACCTATTTACTACTAAGTGAACAGGGACAGCAGGTGTCTTATACACCTCTAATGTTTCCACCCGTACCGGGGATCGAACCACGGACACTCAATGTGTGATTTGAGTTCGCTACCAACCGAGCTACGGGACACCGTAAATAGTTGATTAACAATACTTTTACTGTATGCAGCGTTATCGCTTGTATATGACTGAAGAAGCATGCTGTGCAGGCGAAACATTTCGACAATAAGGATACTGAAGTGTTGCAAGCATGTCTTAGTCAACACAAGTATAACAGGAGTGTGGGAGGGGGAGGCAACCGAAATAGTAAATTTATTTAGGTGCAGGTACACATAAGTACAGTTATCATACCTAGTAACACATGTGTAAATTACCCAGGATAACCCAAGAAAGTCAGACCAAGAGACTTATTTCCATTGAGGTGCTTGTAATAGCCTATTATTAAAAGCCTAGCTGTTTATAATATTTTTCAAGTGGGCCTGTGACTGGCTGCCACGATCTGGCTAGACACTGCAGTGGCTGCTCTTTTCAGGTTAGATCTTTCAGGCAGAAATAAGCCACATTTAAGGCTGGGAAGAACACTAAGCTGGGTCAGTCAAGAAGTCATCAGGAGCTGAACACTTCTCCAGGCTGAGGGACTGACCACCTCAAAAACTATTTTTCCAAGTCTGATGAATGAATTACATCATCTTTACCTCCTACTACACCTGCAGCCTCTAATTTATTTTCCTCTGTATTTGACTGATTCTAGAAGCCTGCTGCGTAGGTGTAACGTTCAATCAACATTAAAAGATACCCAACTGTTGCACATGTATCTTGTGTACTGTATCAGTGACGCTACCGGGGAAGTGATAAATTTTTATGAACTGTGTAATGTGTTTGCAAGGTGTGCTGTTCCTATGTTGGAAATATTACCAGTGGCCTCTAATTAAGGTTATCACTGCTACATTAATGTGTTTGCTTTAAAAAGACACGTGAGCAAGCAATATTAGAAAACGTTTAGGTTCTGGGACCTTGATCATTTCCAACCAAAGGTTTATCACATTAATGTGTATCCTCGAGTCTACTAGTCCGTATTAAGTGTAACAAAGGTATGGGTCAAAAAAGTTCATTGGAGGTAAGGCTTATAAGGTCATGGATTCAGGAGGGTGCGAAGATAAAGCTAGGTCAAACGTCAGTAACTTATAAAGTTATGAGCCATAGATAGTAAAGGATAGGTTGCATGAAAAAGGGTCAGGATAGGACGTGGAGGTCAGAATAGGTGAGGAGAAATCGTCACGAAGTCAGAATACCAAAAGCAGATTAGTAACATTATTCAACAAAGTTAAGAAAAAGTCATTGTTTCACAGACAGGTTGTTCGCATACATTGTTCCAAATTTTGTAGCCTGTTCACTTTTGAATGATACGAAAGTCAGATTTATGTAGTATAAATTTTACTAGTAGTGCCAGTATCGATGTAATAAATACGTTAAAACATACCCGTGGTATAGTTTATTTGTGTCATTACGATTTCGTAAGTTATATTATGTTCATAATTACGTGGTTCATCCTCACCCCCCCCCCTTCTGACCCGGTGCTTTGACCAGTCCTAAACTGTAAAGGGAATGTAAAGGAATTAGAACACAGGAACGTAAAGGTTGGAAGTATATATTGAGTGCAAATAAAATTTTAAGATTTACCTTATAGCCTACATGTTTATAAGACAAAATATCAACCATCTTGCCACAATGTAAAACGTTGAACAGGCTTCCATTTCATATTTATATACCAGTGAATAAGACACAAGTGCAACACCTGGGTGCATTTATTTCAGAGATTATTCGCCCACTAGAATAAAGCCCCTGATGGGCGAAACGTCTCTGAAAAACACGCAGTTGTACACGTGTTTTATTCACCAAGGCGTTAGTAAATACCCAGACGGCAGTTCCGGAGGGGGTGCTGATTAGATGTAGTTACCTTGCTGCTGGTCATGTAAAGGCACCTGCTAAATCAGCTTGAAAATCTTAGCAACTGGGGGACCTGAGACAACTTGTAATTAAGACGTAGAAGCCGGTGAAGCAGCTGCTCCAGCACTTGACAGGGCACTGACGCTCCACACGTCTCCTAGATCGACCGTGGACTGGTGCAGCCAGGAAGATGATGATGGCTCCGTGATCATTTGTATGGCTAAATTTTCTAATAAATAAATAAAATAAAAATAAAATAAAACAGCAATATAAAGTTGAAGAACATAAAGCAAAAATGGGTTATGGTTCCAGATACTTTCATTTTTTTTTTTTTTTATTTAATATCAATACAAATATACAACAATGTATCTTGCATACATTCTAGATGTTGCTTTCTGACATGATGTGTAGAAGTTGATGTGATTGCTGGGGTGAGGTGGATGCTGTGGCTGTGTTGATATACTGTAGATAGAGTTGTCAGTATTGAATGCAAAAACAGGATGCACTTTTTTCAGTTTGTGTTAGACAACAATGCACTATCTACTGTCATGTTATAAGATGGTTCACAGTATACAGTAAAACCCCTCACTTTAACTAAATGGGGAGAAGGGTGGGTGGCTAGAGATGAAAGTTTTGATGTAATCATAACAATAAGAAATTCCTGGTAACCAACATTCTTGTCAGTTGTTTCAGAATAAGAGGCAACTGAAGTGCTGGGAGCAAGGAGCTAGCAACCCCCACTGTATAAATTACAAATGTAAATGTGTTTCTTCTCTTTTCGATCTACCACACCCCTTGGTTGAGCAGCCACTGAGTTTAAAAAAATATTATATTAATGAGGAAGTGCTAAATCTTTTAAGATTTTACAAGTGCTGGGAATGGTAGGTAACCAGTTCCGATCTGAGGAAGGGGAGGGGTAGCTCCAATTCCATTAATGAAAAGCATTTTAGCATCAAATGCTCTCCTCTTAAAGGGTATAACAATTATAGTAACTACAGTAATAATTTTATATGTATGCACCACTCAAATGCAAATCCCTGAATATTAAAATTTTAATCATACAGTGTAATTATTGTATATTTGCAGGTTTTGCATCGAGAATATACTGAAGGCAAGCTTCCTGAATGGACTATTACTGTATTTTTAGACTCCAGAACTTCCCAGGCATATCAAGAAGAGATACAGACAGAGAGTGAATGACTGTTTTAGATCACCGTCCTTGAGGAATATGCCCAATATGCTAAACTTATGTATATATAACATACGAGTGAACATTTAAATAAAAATAGCAAAAGAAGAATTATTAATCTCAAAACTCGAAGCCATATGGTCATTCAGTGTTGCAGTGTGGGTGAAATGTAAGTGTGATGTTGCTGTGGGAAGAAATCAGTGTTAAGAAATTTTGAACTCAAGAGAATAAGTGTTTTTTAAAAAATAGTGTACTGTAGAAGCAGCAAAATGTGAAGAATGATACATATTTTAAGATGTATTTGAACATTTTTAATAATTATTTTTATCACAGTGTAATTAATTCTACATTTTCCTCCAATGATGGAGCAGTGCTAAATGTCATAGGGGGGGGACACAAGTGCCTGGTGGCATTCAGGTTTCAATCTAAGGAGGGGGAGTCCTAAGTCCAGTTCCCTTGGATTCAATAGCCCCCCCCCCCCCCCCCCGGGTCACAGCATCAAGGGCACCTTTCCTTGAGGGGTAATCAAATAATTATAACTTTACAATGAGTAGTAAATAAAGAACAAATTATATCTGATCATGTTGTGGTTTAAAAATGCACTATAATCCAAAACTAATTAAGATTATTTCTTTATTCCAGAATAGATTAATATAAGTTTCTCAAATTGTACTATAATTTATCATTACAATTTCTACATTTTGTGCATTATATAATGAGTGGTTACAGTCTGGCATCATCAAGGATGATCAGTCCTACAGCACTGGATGGTAATGGTCTCTAGTTGTCCCACCTTCACATTCCCTGGGAATGGTTAATGGTCTCCAATTGTTCCCACCTGACGAGTGAGATGATTATCTCCCCAGCTCACTATTAGATGGTTCTCCTCCATTTGCTCCTCTCCTCAGGCAAGTTCCCACCAAGGCATCAACTGTACAGCTGAGGCCATTCATGGGGTCTAAGGCATGTATTTAGAAAATGCCTTGACAAGGGAGAAACCATTATAAGCTGAGAGGTATGTAACTAAGCAAATAGAGTTGACTTTTTTGTTATAAACTCATACAGAAAGTTACTATAAATACTACATTGGCATATTACAAAAATCCACAAGCATTGTTGAACACCTGCAGCTACAAGATAAGCTATAACACACAGATAAAGGTCATAGTTTAACTACACACCAGGAAATGCAAACATGGGCAAGATGGACATGCTTACCAAACTCCACATCTGTCAGAGCATGCAGGAGGGTGATGAGTGGCAAGGCCTGGTAGAATGCCTGTTTTTCTGCGAGTGCGACCTTCACACATGAGCCACGTCCTCCATTTGGTATGGAGGATGGGGAGACTGGAGGACATGTGATAGGCAGGGGGCCATAACTGGGACTGCTGGACAACCTGTATAGAATAATAGCAACACAATAATTTAGGTTAGAGGCCGTCCTCCCGTAGCCCTCAACATGGTGTGTTAGAGGAAGATGGAGTAATGAAATAATTTATATTTCGTTTCTATGTCTACGCATAAAAATTGTTATACACACTTGAGCCAACAAGAGAAAACCACAAAAGCACAAGCAATAACTACAGGATCTGGTGGTACACAATGCTGTGGACCTACTGCAATGTTCAGCACAACCTAGTGACAAAGTACACCATGTAGGACCTAAAAGTAATAGCACAACTTATTTGACTTTTTTTTTAACATATCGGCCATTTTTCCAACCGTGGTAGGGTAACCTGAAAAAAAAGAAACACTTCACCATCACTCATTCCATCACCATCTGGCTAGAGCACACCACCATACAGTTCATATGCCCCTCTAGACAAACAATATCCCCACCACCGTCCTTCAGAAGCAGACACTGTGCTTACCACTTTTTTTAGCATGCAAGCTGGTTAACTGGTTTCCTGAATTCACGCTCCTTCAAAATGTTACCCTTGCTCACCTGGTGGTATACTTAATTATCCTGAAAAGATCTAGTGCCTGGTAGTAAACAAAATGTTAATTCTATGGGACTAGATAGTACACAAAATAATCCCTTAGACCTAGGCAGTGTAGACAACCTCATTGGCCCGACAGCACACATACCACAATAATCCTCAAAAGGACTGTTTCTAGACACAAGAATAATCTAGCACGGTCTGGTAGTTTGGCACTTTCCCTATTAATGTAATAATAAGTAACAAATTAAAATCTTGGTACATATGGTTATAAGGAAGAGCTCACTATGGATGCGTGCAAGAAACAGATGTCAAGTCATTTTTTTTATATTTCGCAGTACTGGACACTAACAGGGATATGAGCCTAGTGATAAATGCAACAATAACCCCAAGGAACTTTCAGACTAATCACTCTTTTCCAATAATTTCCTGTCAGAGGCAAAGAAGGTAGCACTCAACAGAGACATAGCAGACAGGAGCCCTGGCATACCATGCAGATATGGACCCACAGGTGTCATGGAGACCAAACTTTTCTGTACCACCACTGTGTGCCACACCAAATGTAGATGTACAATCCAGAGCCACCAGAGAAAGGGGTAGGACACAGAAGACCAAATTAATGTTTTTCTTTATTAACTTAAAAGACAAGATAGAAGAGAAAAATTATACATATCGCCCATTTAATATTGTATTTATTTTCACCAGAATTACTATCTAAATGAATTAATGGTGAAAATTAATAAAAGTAATCCAGGAGGTGGTATAACCCAGGGTGGAGAGGCACCTGCAAAAGTACCCCAAGAGGAGGGCTCCCCAGGGTCTGGATTCTTGAGGCCAGCCACAGCACCCACAGCTACACCCGCCAGCCATGGGCATCTGAATGTTTACCATTGTCCACTTGTGTTGCCTGTCCTCACCAACACCATCAGAACATTCGTAAATACCACTCATCATCTACCACTCACAAGAGACTACTTATCTACCACTTCATAAATCACATCGCCTACTCTCGTAGGACCAAAATTGCTGTGTTCAGAACCTTCAGTACTGATGGAAGTATTCAAGTAATTAGTTAAAAGGTCAATATAATAAGATCTAGGTTATTAATTTTCCTTATACAGTGGACCACCCCGCATAACGATCACATCCGAATGCGACCAATTAGTAAGTGTATTTATGTAAGTGCGTTTGTAGACTGTATGTTTGGGGGTCGAAATGACTAATCTACTTCACAATATTCCTTATGGAACAAATTCCGGTCGTAACAGTGCACCTGAACATACTTCTGAGGAAAAAAAATCGTTAACCGGGAGTCCATACTCTAAATTCTTGCGATATAGTTTGCTTTTCACACCACATTTCTTTTCATATGACTACAGTGTTATTACACCACTTCCCTTCCTTCTCTGACAAGGAAGTAGAGTTTATTTCCCTAACACCTTGGGGGGCCATCATCTTCATGTACACAATATCTTGACCTGCACACTCCCTAATCTTCCCTCTGAGCTGCTTCCCACAGCAGACAAGACATAGCATTACTATGTGTTGAGGGCTGAAGAAAATGAAGGCGGCCAGTAGAGGCTGAGAGGAGAGGTATGAGTTGATAACCGCCCGTCCCCTTGACTTCTGCCACTCCGACCACGCCATTGAAAGATGTCCAGTACACCCACAGGAACAGTGTACCTACAAAAGTTCAGCAATTCTGACAAATTGTGAGCAATAAAATCTAATTCAGCATTACAAACAGACATTATAAAATAAGCTCTAATCTTTCTGGAGGTGTAATTTGTAAAAAATAAGCTCTCATAATGGGAGCTCATTTTTATTCTAGACTTAAAACTACTTCCCTTTTCCTTAACTCTGATTACTTTCCTCCCCTCAAAGGGAGGTTCCTTGATGCGGTGAGGAAATCTTGATCTAGGGAATTGGATCTGTGCTCAGTTCCCGGAATTGGAGCCTGAAGCCTTTTAATCCCCCCCCCAGTGCTCCCCCAAAATTATATTAAATAAATAATAATAATCTGATTACTTCCC